GAATAATAAAAGAGTTTCATGATGGGTGTTTTAAAGGCTAGTAGTGTGCGCCCACTAGGACATGGGTGTCTGACAGAACATGGGTGTGTGACAGGACATGGGTGTGTGACAGGACATGGAAGTGTGACAGAACATGGGTGTGTGACAAGATATAGGTGTGTGATAGGACATGGGTGTGTGAGAGGCCATGGGTGTGTGAGAGGCCATGGGTGTGTGACAGGCCATGGGTGTGTGATATGACATGGGTGTGTGACAGACCATGGGTGTGTGACAGGCCATGGGTGTGTGACAGACCATGGGTGTGTGACAGGCCATGGGTATGTGATAGGACATGGGTGTGTGACAGGACATGGGTGTGTGACAGGCCATGGGTGTGTGACAGGCCATGGGTGTGTGACAAGCCATGGGTGTGTGACAGGCCATGGGTGTGTGACAGGACATGGGTGTTTGACAGGACATGGGTGCGTGACAGGCCATGGGTGTGTGACAGGCCATGGGTGTGTGACTGGCCACGGGTGTGGGACAGGACTTGAAAAGTAGTCATGGAAAATGCGAGCAATGAAGGACGTGCATGTGTGCATGTATGCATGGGCGTGTGTGCATATGTGCATAGGGTTGTATGCAATTATGCAAGTATAGTTTCTAGTCTCGAGGCTGGTAAGCAAGACACGAAATTTGCAGAAGGACAACCTGATTTGATAGCAGACATGACCTAAGAAATCCTATATTCGATTACAGATCCTTCGTTGATCAAACCAATTCTGTTCAATGAATCGAGGCATATTGCAGCTGTGTCGCATGAACCTCGTTGTACCCATTACCGAGTTTCATGGGACAGCACGGGAGGTGCAGGCGCGGAATGTGAGGTTCAGAGAATATTGTAAGCAAGTATATTTAGTGTACATAGCCAACGGCACTTTTGATAAAGGTACAGTGATGGGCGAGTTGGGAGCGGTTGGCCAGGTGGGAAGGAAGCAAGTTGGGGCATGACACGTAAGTAAGCATGAGGAGCGGTTTGGGCAGTGGCTTGCGGCGAATGAGAGAGGTGAGTCGATGGCAGGAATCACAGGGCCATCATAGTAGGAGAAACTCCCAAAACGGCGCGCAGCGGAAGCAGCTGGGAGGGCAGGGTTTGGCTTCGGAGTGGGACTGCTAGGAGGAGGAGCACAAAAGTAGTAAGGAGGGGTAGTTGTTGCTACTCTGTTTGTTCTCTCGTTATCATGGGAAAGCCTGTATGCTCTCTTACTAGTGGATTTACTCTTGAGCAACGCTAGATCCATGTAGGGAGGTCGGACAGAGGTGCAGTTGAGAGGATCAGGATGCGAGATTGAGTCTTGGGCTTTTTCGTACAAACAGAGTTATGGTGGGCATGTCACTGCGTAGCGGCATGCGCCTACCTGTGGGAGAGACTCCCCCGCTGGGGGAGGAGAACGTGTCACCAAACGAAGGAGGCGAAGAACAGCGAGGGGAATCGTCCGAGGATAAGCGCGAATCTCCGCGCGAGAAGGCTGGCGAAGGAGCGCAAGAGTGGGACGAGGAGATTTGTGGCTCTAGCAGTTTCGCCATGCGAGCAGATCGCCATCCGGGAGAAGGAATCCCATCGGCGGGAAGAGGAGGAATCCCTTCGGGCATCGCGGAGCGCAGCAGAGGGGTCTCGGACTCGAGGGCAGCCGGATCCGCAGAGGTCGCCACATCTGCGCGCTTAAGCGAGATGGGTGGCGGAGGTGCCATCGGGGGGAGAGGCGCGTCCGTGGGAGGGCCGTCAAGGCGGTCCTTGTGGGAGGAGGGGACGAGATATTGCTACACCAGCCTTCCGAAAGTGGAGGTTCCAGCTCGCTTTACGGGCGACCAGGAGATTGGGACGCGGCTTAAGGCGTATGTGATGCACATCCACTGCGAGAAGTTCTGCTGGGAGCAAGATGGATTGGACTTAAGGCACTTCTTTCGCTCCCTGGGGAACACGCTGGCCGGAGACGTGGAGGCGTTCTTACTGGAAGTGCGCGATCTGCTGCTGCAGGAAGAGGAGCGGGATGCTTTGGGCCGGGTTTGCTGCGATGAGGAGGGATGGATCTTGATGCTAAGAGATCCGACGGAGAGGTTCCTCGCCGAGCTGCAGGTCCATTTCCCCACGCAGACGCGGCGCGGCTAAGAGAGTTTGAGCAGCTGCGGAGGGCCTCAAGAGAGTCACTGCTAGCGTATTACCGGCGGGTGGATCAGCTGGCTGACGTCATCAGCTGCAACGAGCCACGGATAGTGGTGGCGAAGTTCCTAGATGGGCTGTCGAGAGATCTGGTGGGGACGGTGCGAGACCACACGTACAACCTACGGCCGAACGCCACGCTTCGTCAGGCGTATGCGATAGCATGGCGGAATGAGCAGTCCCTGAGCATGTATGACCTCGGGAAGAGGGCAGAACGGACCATGCCCCACGAGCGTGATCGCAGGGGAGTAAGCTGGGGTGGAGCCATGATGGCAGACAGCGAAGGAGATGAGGAAGGAGGGCTGGAAGGCAGGAATCAGAGGGGACGGGCGAGGAGGGCAAAAAGTGCGACTCCGCCCCCGGGTGAAGAGCCTGTGTGCTATAAGTGCAGGGAGCCCGGGCACTTCAAACGAGACTGCCCCAAGTTGCAATCCTGTACATATTGCCAGCGAAAGGGGCATGCGGCCGACGACTGCTACACGAAGCAGAGTGAGGAACGGAGCTGTGGGGGCAGACGCAGTCGCATAGAAGCACTGGAAGAAGAGCTCAGGAAGCTCAAGGGGGAGGCGGAGGGCAGCGAGGAAGAGGAGGACTAGGGAGCACTAATGGCTTGAACAGACCAAGAGGATAAGGGGGAGCTGCCAGAGCCCTTCTTCATGGCCTCGGGGAGAGATCGAGACCGAGAAGACCTGGGGCTGCGCATCGGGGGCAGAGATGGACGCCGAGATATGCAACAGGGGCACAGAGGGCCGAGGATGGAGCCCTCCCCAGCGGTGCAGCGTGCAGCGGAAGCTGTAGCGGAGGCAGTGGCACGTGCAGGGGGCAGCCATGGGCCACGCATGCATCCCTTTGAGCGTATGGCGGCACGTCCGTGCGTGGTGGAAGCAGTGGAAGGGTCCGTGGAGGTAGAAGGAAATTACCTAGGTACGACGATCATTGACATGGGTGCCTCCCAGGTGCTGATCGGTAGGCGACTGGCCGAGCATTTGGGGCTCCACCAAGAGGAAAACGTGACACCTGAAGGGGTGAGGATACCGACAGCAGAAAGGGGGGGTAGGCAAATGCCTGCCAAGGACCTTGCGTTTGCAGGAGGTAGTGTTGGCTCCCGGGAAAGAGAACGAAGCGAGACTCAGGGTGCACTGCCTCATCTCGGATTCCGATGATTACAATCTATTGCTAGGTATGGAGCTGTTGTAAAAAATCGGGGCAGTCGTGGACACCTGGGCAGAGAAGGTCACGTACCAGCCATGATACTGGGATGCAGACTTACGGCGAGAAGAGAGTACAGCGGCTGTATTGCCCGCTCGGTTCCTGAGAGGGAGACCCGTGTACAGGGAGCCGTCCGCAGACCGGGTGCCTGAAAACCGATTCAAGGATGCTGGAGTGTACCTGGAGAAGAGCAGTGAGAGGCGGAGATGGGAGGAAGCAGCCGGCCCGAGAGTGGAAGAGTGCCGTGAAGCAAAGGGCTTGACAGAGCCCACGTACGATTTTGAGACGGACATCTTGGAACCAGGCAGGCGGGCTGCTCCGGTAACCATGCCCGACGCTCGAGTGTAGTACCCATGCAATGAAGTGGGGGCACCACGTCAGGCCTGGCCCACGCTGGTAGCGACCCCAGGCAGCTATGCCTTCCGGATGCAGGATGGACAGCCAGGGCCCGGAATGGTGCAGGTCCTGTCCACTGGAGAATGGGAGGAACCCTTGGCAGTGGAGCGAGAGCGGGCAATAGGGTACTTGAGAAATGCAACCGCAGTAGAGGGAGTGACGGAAGCAGAGAGGTGGCGAGCTCTAGGGGGAGCGATAGATCAGCACACACTGGTATGGTTGATGTACCGGGCAGAGAAGCGATAGGAGGCAATGCACAAGCGGCTGCTGATGATTTGGAGGTGGAGGGATATAGAAGAAATGCTAGAGGCAGACCCAGTTCAAGCCATGGACATAGCGAAGGCATGGCGAAGGATGAAAGTGGAGGCAAGGGAGGAAGGTAGGCGGGATGAAGAGTGCTTGAATAGCAGAGGAATCAGCCTCTTGGCGAGAGCAACGCAGGAGGCTGAGGAGCGGCAAGATACGAACGAGGAGCTGGAGGCAGAGCCCCCCCCCCTTAGGGACGCTCCCCCTGAGGAGAGTCAGTGGGACATAGGGGAGGGGCTGGAGGAGGGACAGAAGGAGGAACTAACGGGGGTACTCGAGAAGGCCAGAGACGCCTTCGCATACTCACTGGCAGAACTGGGCAAGTGTAACCGGACAGAGATGGAGATTGATTTGCAGAGCTCTGAGCCTGTGTATCAAAGGAGACGGAGACTGAGTCCAGGGGATCGCGACATCCATTGCCAAATGCAAAGAGGTGCTAGCAGCCAGCTTGATTCAAGAATCAACATCAGAGTATGCAGCGGCAACTGTGGTAGCGGTACACAAGTACTTGACAGGAGAAATGCTAGCAAGACGGATGTGGGAGGATTATCGAGGCCTGAACCGCATGACGAAGAGCGATAGGTACCCCATGCCGATGGCGGAGGAGATTTTTGACAAGCTGGCGGAAGGGAGGATTTACTCAACTTTAGACCTCCGGCAGGGATTCAATCAGATCCCGATCAAGGAAGAAGATAAGGCCAAGACCGCGTTTCACGGTCCAGACCGGCTCTTCGAATAGAACTTCATGCCATTTGGCTTGAAGAACGCCTCTGCAAAGTTTCAAAGAGTAATGGACCAAGTCCTCCAGGAGGTGCCGCGGGCACTGTGCTACATTGATGACGTCGTCATCTACAGCCAGATGACGTAGCTAACGTGGTGGCGACCTTAGCGACTATCCAAAGAAATGCCACTTCGGGGTTACGACAGTAGCTTACCTGGGGTTTCAGGTGGGAGAAGGCGGGCTCTCGGTGCAGCAGGCGAAGGTGGAGGTGGTTGACAGGCTGAAGGCGCCCACGGATTGTAGCACGCTAAGAGCGCAGCTGGGATTCCTGAGCTACTACCGCAGGTTCATCCCGAACTTCAGCAAGACAGCCAAGCCACTAAGTCAGTTGTTGAGAAAGGATGAAGGATGGAAGTGGTGGAAAGAGCAAGAGAGAGCATGGACCACCCTCAAGGAGGCCGTGAAGACGGCGCCGCTGCTGAAGCTGCCTAACCCAGACGAGCCTTTCCTGCTGTACACAGACTGGAGCAGCAGTGGGATGTGCACCGTGCTCTGTCAGGAGGAAAAAGGAACAGAGAGGGTGGTGGCGTACGTCAGCAGGTCATGTAGCCCGGCGGAGAGCAATTATAGCTCGTACGAGGGAGAGGGGTTGGCGGCAGTGTGGGCGGTAGAGCTGTTCCGGCCCTACTTGCAGGGGAGGAAGTTCACGCTGGTGACGGATCACCAACCACTGCTCTGGCTGATGACGAACCAAACCCTGAAGGACCGGAACGCTCGATGGGCTATGCATCTACAGGAGTTCGAGTTCGACGTGAAGCATCGACCGGGGAAAGACTTTGCAGCATGTGGATGGCCTAACTCGCCAGAGGCAAGAGGGAGACGAGAGGAGAGAGGTGCGGGCAGAGGCCGCACTTACTTGTATGGCGGTGGCCCTGGAGAAGGAGGGATGGAACCGGAAGACAGAGACAGCAAAGGGCAGTTGAGAGATTTGGGAAGACCAGCCAGTGCTCGCCTGGGGTTCAGGGCAGGGGACCGGAAGGGGAAGAAGTTCCTGAGAGGGTGCGAGTGCGGGGGGGTGCATTACCGATGGCAGACGGATCAGCAGCAGCTGGTGACAGAAGATGGGTGGCGGATAGTGCCACGGCCAGAGGAAAGGGAGGCCCTGATCGTGAAAGTACATACACAGTTGGGGCACTATGCCGTGGAACGGACCGTACAGATGCTGCAGACCATGTACTGGTGGGCGGGCCTGAGAAGAGAAGTGAAGGAAGTGCTGGCCAGATGTGAGCCATGCAGCCAGAGCAAGGCAAAGCTGGAGCGAACCAAGGCAGAGCTGCAGTCTCTACCCATCGGTTCAATCGGGTATCGCTGGTCCTTAGACATGGTGGGGGAAATGCCGCTATCTCGGCGAGGCAAGCAATACATTCCGTGATGATCGAGCTCACGAGCAAGTGGATAGAGGTGGCAGCACTGGCATGGAAGACAGCAGCAGCAGTGGCAAAGGCTTTCACCCAGCAAGTCGTAACCAGGTCGGCGCATGTGGGGAAGTTCTGACGGACAAGGGTGGAGAATTTGCGGGAGAATTCCACGGCCTGCTGCAAGAGGTGGGCATCACCCAGCGGCGGACTTCACGGTACCATCCCCGGGCTGATGGCCTGACAGAGTGAATGGTCCAGACTCTGAAGATGGGCCTGAGGAAGTACTGCAAGGAGGAAGAGCAAGGGAGTGGGACCAACATCTGCCGTGGGTGGCGGCGGGGTATCGCTTCAGCAAACAGCAGGCTCTGAAGGATTATTCCCCGTACTATCTGGTTTTCGGGAAGGAGCCAGTGCTGCCGGTGGACGCTCCACTGATAATGGTGCAGTCGGTGTCCACTGACGACCCGCGCACCTGGGCGGCGGTGGCAGCCAGATGCGCTAGCTACCTCCGCAGCGTGCTGCCAGCAGCCTTGGAAAATCTGGAAGTGGCGCAGCTCCGTGATGCTCGATGCTACCGACAGCGGAAGGAAGGAGTAGGTGGAGGACCTAGGCATGGGACTGAGCTGCAAATTGGGGATGAGGTGTACCTGAAGGAGCCGCGGCATAATACGCTGGAGTGTGGCCTGAGTAAGCAGCGGTGGGTCGTGCGCAGGAAGGAGGAGTCGGGGGTCCTGACACTACAGAATGCGCCAGGGAGGTCGGTTCAGGATCATGTGACGAATGTCGCCCGAGCATCCGGTTCGCGACCAAGCAGCGGGGGCGCAGGGCAGACCGAGAGGGGGCATGAGTCAGGGGAGTCGAAACTCATCACATACAAGCGTAGGGAAGGCAAAGAATCTTAGGAACCAGGTTAGGCATTGCAGATGAGAGCTGCGGGGAGGGGAGGAGGCTATGCGACAGCTGTCGCATGAACCTCGTTGTACCCGTTACCGAGTTTTATGGGACAGCGCGGGAGGTGCAGGTGCGGAATTAGAGGTTCGGAAAATGTTGTAAGCAAGTGTATATAGTGTACATAGCCGACGAATCTTTCGATAAAGGTACAGTGATGGGCGAGCTGGGAGCGGTTGGCCAGCTGGGAAGGAAGCAGGTTGGGGCATGACACGTAAGTAAGCATGAGGAGCGGTTTGGGCAGTAAAATCAGCGAATGAGAGAGGTGAGTCGATGGCAGGAATCAGGGTGAATGAGGCATGAGAGTGCGAAAGCATCAAAAGCTGTTATGTTGATATGCAATAAGAATCTGGTGACAGGTTTTGACAAAGGAACCTGACTAAGGGTGAATCTGACAATGGGGATTCGACTGTGAATTCCTGAGATGGGAATCTGACAATGAGGTCAGTCATGGAACGTCGGCACTGGGAATTGTAGACGGGAATCTAAAATTACAATTCTGACAATAGAGAACTGACTACGGGGGATTGGGGAATACGAACCTGACATGGAAAAATGAAGCGGGAACATGACATGAGTATATGCCATGGCTATCTAACAACGGAAATCTGACAATGGGAATCATCTGGCTCAGAAATCTGACATAGAATTCTGACAGTCAGCATCTGACAGTAATAATTGAACAACGGGGAATATATAGGATTCGAGCAGCTGGAACGTAGTCAGCTGGAATCTGGGGAAAAAAGAAGAATGAAGTGAGAATCTGACCACGGGAATTGGAAAATGGAATGTGGCTGTGGGTGAATGTGACAATGAGATTCTGACAGATGAATCTGATATGGAAATCTGGCAACGGAAGTCTGACATGGAAAGTTGGCACTAAGAATTGGAAATGGGAATCTGAAAGCGGGAATCTGAGATTGGAAATGACAATGGGAAAAAGATTATACGTACCTGACACGCAAAACTAATATAACATGGGTATACGAGAGCATACGTGACAACGGGAATCAGACCTGGGGCTTGGGAATCTGACTTAAGGATCTGACCTGGGAATCTCACCTAAAAAAACTGACCTGGGAATCTGACCTGGAAAAATGACGTGGGAATCTGGCTTGGGAATCTGACTTGGATAGCTGACTTGGGATTCTGACTAGGAAATCGAACTTGGGAATCTCACCTGGAAATCTCTTGCCGAATCTGACTTGGGAATCTGACTGATTTCGGAAACTGACAGACCTTGGAATCTGACTTGGGGATCTAACCTAGGAATCTGATCCAGGAATCTGACCTGGGATTGTGACCAGGGAATGTGACCTGGGAATCTGATTTGGGAATGCGACTTGGTAATCCGACTTGGGATTCTGACTCGGAAATCTGACTTGAAAATCTCACCTGGGAATTTGACAGGATCATTATGGGATCCTGATAAAGGGAAAGAAAATTTGGAGTGAGATTACTATGCTCATGGCAATAATTGGGAATCTGACCTGGAAATCTGGCTCAAGAATCAGACTTGGGATTCTGACTTGCGAATCAGACTAGGGAATCTGACTTGGGAATCTCACCTGGGAATCTCATCTGGGAATCTCACCTGGAAATCTGACCTGGGAGTCTAACCTGGGAATCTGACTTGGGAAGCTTACTTGGGCATCTGACTCTGGAATATCACGTGGGAATTTCACCTGGGAATCTGACTCGGGAATCTGACTTGGAAATCTGACTCGGGAATCTGACTCAGGAATCTCTCCTGGGAATCTAACCTGGGAATTTGACTTGGGAATCTGACTTGGGAATTTCAATTAGGAATCTGACTTGGGGGAATCTGATTCGGGAACATCACCTGCGAACCTCACGTGGGAATCTGACCTGGGAATGTGACCTTGGGAATCTGACCTGGGCATCTGACCAGGGAATCAGACCTGGAAATGTGACCTGGGAATCTGACTTGGGAATCGGACTCAGGAATCTCACCTGGGAATCTGACCTGGAAATCTGACCAGGAAATCCGACCTGGGAATCTGACTTGGGGGAATCTGATACGGGAACATCAACTGCGAATCTCACATGGGGATGTGACCTGGGAATCTGACCTGGGAATGTGACCTTGGGAATCTGACCTGGGCAGCTGACCTGGGAATACGACCTGGGAAGGTGACCTGGGAAACTGACTGACTTGGGAATGTGACCTGGGAATCTGACCTGGGAATATTATTTTTAGAATCTGACTTGAGAATCTGACTCAGGAATCTCACCAGGGAATCTCACCAGGGAAATCTCACCTGGGAATCTCACCTAGGATTCTCACCTGGAAATCTGACCTGGAAATCTGACCTGGGAATCTGACCTGGAAATCTGACCTGGGAATCTGACCTGGGAATCTGACATGGGAATCTGTCTTGGGAATCGTACTTTGGAATCCGACTAGGGAATCTGACTCAGGAATCTCACTGGGAATCCGACCTGGGAATCCGACTTGGGAATCCGACAGACCTGGGAAACTGACTGACTTGGGAATGTGACCTGGGAATCTGACCTGGGAATATGATTTTTAGAATCTGACTTGAGAATCTGACTCAGGAATCTCACCAGGGAATCTCACCTGGTAATCTCACCTAGGAATCTCACCTAGGATTCTCACCTGGAAATCTGACCTGGAAATCTGACCTGGGAATCTGACCTGGAAATCTGACCTGGGAATCTGACCTGGGAATCTGAGTTGGGAATCTGACCTGGGAATCTTACTTGGGAATCCGACTAGGGAATCTGACTCAGGAATCTCACCTGGGAATCCGACCTCGGAATCTGACTTGGGAATCTGACTTGGGAATTTCACATAGGAATCTGACTTGGGGGAACCAACTCGGGAACATCACCTGCAAATCTCACGTGGGAATGTGACCTGGGAATCTGACCTGGGAATGTGACCTTGGGAATCTGACCTGGGCAGCTGACCAAGGAATATGACCTGGGAATGTGACCTCGGAATGTGACTTGGGAATCTGATTCGGGAATCTGACTCAGGAGTCTCACCAGAGAATCTGACCTGGGAATCTGACTTGGGAATCTGACTCAGGAATCTCACCAGGGAATCTCACCTGGGAATCTCACCTGAGAATCTCACCTGAGAATCTCAACTGGGAATCTCACCTGGGATTCTCACTTGGGAATGTGACCTGGAAATCTGTCCTGGGAATCTGACTTGGGAATCTGACCTGGGAGTCTGACTTGGGAATCTGACTTGGGAATCTGACTTGGGAATCTGACTTGGGAATCCGACTAGGGAATATGACTCAGGAACCTGACCTGGGAATCTGACCCGGGAATCTGACCTCGGAATTTCACATAGGAATCTGACTTGGGGGAATCTGACTCGGGAACATCACCTGCGAGTCTAACATGGGAATGTGACCTGGTAATATGACCTGGGAATGTGACCTTGGGACTCTGACCTGGTCAGCTGACCTAGGAATATGACCTGGGAATGTGACCTGGGAATCTGACTCGGGAATCTGACTTGGGAATCCGACTAGGGAATATGACTCAGGAATCTGACCTGGGAATCTGACCTGGGAATGTGACCTGGGAATCTGACTTGGGAATTTCACGTTGCAATCTGACTTGGGGGAATCTGACTCGGGAACATCACCTGCAAATCTCACGTGGGAATGTAACCTGTGAAACTGACCTGGGAATCTGACCGGGGAATGTGATCTTGGGAATCTGACCTGGGAATGTGACGTGGGAATCTGACTTGGGAGTCTGACCTGGGAATGTGACCTGGAAATCCGACCTGGGAATCTGACTTGGGAATTTCACATAGGAATCTGACTTGGGGGAATCTGATTCGGGTACATCACCTGCGTATCTCACGTGGGAATGCGACCTGGGAATCTGACTTGGGAATCTGACCTGGGAATGTGACCTTGGGAATCTGACCTGGGCAGCTGACCTGGGAATATGACCTGGGAATGTGACCTGGGAATCTGACTCCGACTGACCTGGGAAACTGACTAACTTGGGAATGTGACCTGGGAATCTGACCTGGGAATATGACTTGGGAATCTGACTCAGGAATCTCACCATGGAATCTCACTTGAGAATCTCACTTGGGAATCTCACCTGGGATTCTCACCTGGGAATCTGACCTGGAAATCTGACCTGGGAATCTGACTTGGGAATCTGAATTGGGAATCTGACTTGGGAATCCGACTAGGGAATCTTACTCAGGAATCTCACCTGGGAATCTGACCAGGGAATCTGACTTGGGAATCTGGCTTGGGATTTGGACATAGGAATCTGACTTGGGATTCTGACTCGGGAACATCACCTAGGAATCTCACCCGGGAATGTGACCTGGGAATCTGACCTGGGAATGTGACCTTGGGAATCTGACCTGGGCATCTGACCAGGGAATCTGACCTGGGAATGTGACCTGGGAAACTGACTGACTATGTGACCTGGGAATCTCACCTCAAAATCTCACCTGGGAATCTGACCTGGGGACGTGACCTGGGAATCTGACCTGGGAATCTGACCTGGGAATCTGACCTGGGAATCTGACCTGGGAATCTGACCTGGGAATCTGACCTGGGAATCTGACCTGGGAATCTGACCTGGGAATCTGACCTTGGGAACATTCATTGCCACCTGGCAGCTGTTCATAGGCTGCGATGGCGAGGGGAGGGTGGGAGGGGAGATAGCAGGGCAGGAGGGACGAGGGTTGAGGATAGTAGTAGGGAGGCGGGCGTAGGAAAGGGGGAAGGAAGCTGCTTGGAGCTAGCCTCCTGTGCAGACGACCATTCTGTAAGGTTGTTTCAAATCAACGGGCATTCTGTGTATCAGCGGCACTCTTTCTTTATCTGGTGTAATTTCCTATCCTACCTGTAGCGGCTCAATGCCCAGCTTCCATATCGTAATTTGAAGAGACTCTAAACAGGATGCATGGACAAGGACAGCGTGGCCTTTTGCATGAAAAGTTTTGTATGGAAGCAACTTCAAAAACACCAACTAGTAAATGATTACTACCAGAAGTTTGTACACGGAACAAGGCATTTCTCCAAACCACTACCCCCCCTTCCGTAAACCCCAGCTAGTTGCTGGAGCCTCCAGCCAAGCACCATCACACTAATGCGTTGCTCCACCCAGTCCAGTACAGATAGCTCTACCCAGGAACGCGTAATCTAGACACATGCGAGCACCAAGGAAAACACAATAGTTGGAGAAAATCTCGCGAATCTCACGAATCCCGTCTCGCGCGATTATATTCCAATTTTCGCTGCGGAACGGGATTCGCGAGATTTTCTCCAATAGTTGTAGGGCCTACCATCGCAAAAATCAGGGACCCAGTTTCGGTAGCGATTTCTTCGTCGCGCGAACAGTAGGCGAGATCGCCTGCGCAAATCGTAGCTTTCAACTTATCGAATTGTATACACTGTAATTCAAGTATGTTTGTCTATACTTGAAACTTAATATACGTAGTTGTTTTATATTGTTTAAGGGCTATGTTTATATGAGCATAATTTCTACAAACTTGAAAGGCTTTATCCTAATCACTTGATCCAATTATACTTGCCTCAGGAGGATAAGGTTGCACATTTAGTAAAAATCAATCAAAAAGATAATCATTCAGCAAAAACGTGCCACGCCTCTCAAAGGACTCTACAACATGGACGGCGCTATAGATGGTGTCCACATCAACAATGTCCCTGTGCAGCCTCGGAGTCCCCGGGAATGTTGCCCACTTGAGCGCCTTACAACCTGTCACGCCGTCATCCCTAACCTGCTCATAGTACTGGACATAGGCCCACCCCTTGTCACTCTGCAAGTGCTTGAACAACAGCAAGACCTCGGGATACCACACCTCATCCCCTGCCCCCCTAATGGCAACATGCGAGAACCAAGGGTCCCCATGGTGTGATGGGTTCGCACGAACGAAGTGGGTGACCCTAGAGTGCCACTCGCGGGGCCCGGCAGGTACTGCTGCCCCTGTGTAAATCTGCAAGGGCGAGGGGCAGGGTGCGGTGATTGAAAATAATGGCAAAAAGGGGGGGCAGGGTGCAGTGATTGAAACTAATGGCAAAAAGGGGGGGCAGGGGGGCTATGCCTTGGCACTACCCAAGTGCCGTGACAAACTTTGATCGAGGGGCGAGGGGTTGGGCAGCAAGGGGGAAGGGAGTAGAGGGGGAGGAAGTGACGCCCACTGGAGAGAGCGAAGGAGGGACAGAGGGTTGAGTGCCATACTGGAGGGAGGGAGGGATGGACCGACAGAGGGGAGGGGGAGGTGAGAGAGAGTTTGCAATGTATGTTGCTGTGGGGAGGGAGGGAGCGGCAGAGGGGAGGGGGGGATGAGAGAGAGCTGTGTAGACATAATGAGACAGGATTTTTCCGTGACGGAGCTGATCAGCCTTTTCGCACAAACGCTTTGATTCCGGCAGGCGGGTCAGTACGGCGACTGCAGAGCGTCCACACCATGAACGATCAGAAACTTCCCTTTGAAAATCTCAGGGTCGTTAATCTGCGCGTTGGCCTTCCCGAACCGCATCTTCCTCCCCCCCTCAGATTCGCCGCCGCGTCCTCACTCTTGCCCATCTTGCGGCCATTCACGTCCTTGAGCTCACGCGCGTCGCTCATCTCCTGCTCCGAGTAGAGCCCGTCCACCATGTTGGCGCGTAGCCAGTTCCAGTACCCCTTGGCGTCCTCCAGGTCCGCGTTCGGGTTCAGCATCATGCTCACGCCCGCGCCGGCGGAGTCGGAGGTGAGCAGCGCGTCGTCCGCGGGGAAGAGCATGGCCTTGAGGTCCAGCTTGCCGAGCGTCTCGTCCGTCGGATTCCAGTCGCTCTCTGAAGCATTGCATTGCATTGCTCACACCAACACAAGAAACCAGAGCTTGATTTCGTCAACACATGCCATGTGTTGAGGAGAACGAGGACTAATGGTTGAGCGCAAAAGGTGTTGACGAGTTGTAACCCCGGTTTAAACATGCCGAGAGATGTAGCTTTTTACAGAGAGCTTTCATGCTACTTACCCAATTTCGGGATGAAGTGGTCGAGGAAGGTGGTGGTTATCCGGTATTTGCTGGAAATCGCGGGGTTCTTGAGTGCATCGCGCGCGCTCTTCACCTCGGCGATCACCTCCTCCTTGCTGGGCCGCTTCGCCGCCGCCGGCGCGACGAGCACCGCGACCAGCGCGCAAATGCCGAGAATCGCCAGCTGGTTCCACCACGACGCCATGCCTCGCGCTTGGAAAAGAGGGAACGAGAGAATTTCTCGACGGAACGAGTGAAGAGGGGAGAGAAGCTCGAAGTCTTTGAGAGGACTACTCGGCGGAAGAGAGAAGCAGAAAGATCGGGTGTTTCTGGGCAATGTGTGTTCACGTGCTTGTGTGATCATGTATCGAGCAGAACAGGGCTCTGCTTTATGCTCTGGCGATGAGCATTCGTTGGAGCAGAAGCGGCTGGGTTCTCGGCGCGTGAGGTGCGCTGTGGGGGGAAACGAAGGGTTCCGGGACTCACGCTCGAAAATGAAAATGGGTGGCAAGCGGTGTAGAGAATAAACACGCGGTCTCATGCGTTTTATCGTGGTATGGCTGCTTGTTTTGTGTTGAACCTCGGCTACAAAAGCACTCCGTTTCGAGTGATGCAATGCCCCAACCAATCGGATTGGCGATTGATTTTTGTGTGGGTCTCGAAACGCGTTGGCTGTGTGTGAGCCGTATGATGCGGCTGGGGATGTGGGGCTTTGTTGCGGAGGAGGGTTCCCTGAACGAGGGAACCCATGGATGGACCATGGTACCCCTCAGGATTTACTCTGGGGGCGCGTTGCTTCAGAATGGATTTTTAACCAGTCGTCATCTGGGGGACTTCGTACCCGTCAGGGCCCGTTTTCGGGTCAAAATCTGCCAGAACCTAGGTTAAAAGCCAGGTTCGAGCAAAAAGAGACCCGAGACCAGCGGAGTCGGTGGGACCCGAATCCGTCAAAGAGGGCGTTCCGGTCAAAAGCCACCCGTTAAAGAATCAGCATTTGGGTAGTTGCTCGTCGAGCATAGCCCCTGGCGGGAGGCGTGCTTTGACGAAAACAAGGTTCCCGACATCACTATTGAAAATGAAAAGGGATGGCAGGTGGTAGAAATGTTTACGTCTAAATTGTCCAGATCCCCGCGTCGCCACTTGAAAAATGTTTCGAAACTAGAATTCCAAAATCAATGCCCCGACATACCCTCAAATATTATACGTTCAGGGCAACTAGCCTTCGAACATGGGTTCCGTTCGGCGGTTCGTGTGTTCGTAGCCTGGATGCGACTGCGTTTGTCAAACGATGCCCCAACCAATCGGATTGACGATTTTTTTTCCCGAGTCAGCCTCATACGTGTTGCATCTCAGGCCTGAACTTGAGTGCTGCTGAGCCGTGTGATGCGGCTGAGGATGCAAAACTATGTCAGAATAGAGCGCACGCGAAAGATCAAGGGAACCCATGGTACCGCTCTGAAAGCATCTGCTCTTGTTCCGTGAAGTTGACTAGTAATGTAATGTAAGTACGCGACTCCAACTTGAACCATACACTCCGTCCTCGTACGCGCCAAGGGCCATATCTACAGAGGAAATTACTATGTCAATATAGCATATGATCCATTGTGTGTATCTTTCCCTATTTCGCCATGAGAAGGGATGGAGTGGGCGAGCTCCAAAGGAGATGGCTTCTGTACAAGGCAATGCATTGGTGCGTCCCAAAATACGAGGACCATAAATACGGAGTAGGTATACAGTAGGTACGGCATAGATACGTCTGCTACGGAGTAGCCTTGCTATACGAACAACTATACCTACAATATAGGTGAGATCCACATTTTTGTGACGTGGGGTTGGAAAATGGGCGCGAGAGATATCAAATGGGTAGTGGGCGAGTGAAAGGGGGCGACGGGGGAAGAAAATGGGCGTGACGGGACAGGGGCGAAGGGAGAGGGGAAGGGTAAAGCGAAACTGAATAATAAAAGAGTTTCATGATGGGTGTTTTAAAGGCTAGTAGTGTGCGCCCACTAGGACATGGGTGTCTGACAGAACATGGGTGTGTGACAGGACATGGGTGTGTGACAGGACATGGAAGTGTGACAGGACATGGGTGTGTGACAGGACATGGGTGTGTGACAAGACATGGGTGTGTGACAGGATATAGGTGTGTGATAGGACATGGGTGTGTGAGAGGCCATGGGTGTGTGAGAGGCCATGGGTGTGTGACAGGCCATGGGTGTGTGATATGACATGGGTGTGTGACAGACCATGGGTGTGTGACAGGCCATGGGTGTGTGACAGACCATGGATGTGTGACATGCCATGGGTATGTGACAGGACATGGGTGTGTGACAGGACATGGGTGTGTGACAGGCCATGGGTGTGTGACAGGCCATGGGTGTGTGACAAGCCATGGGTGTGTGACAGGCCATGGGTGTGTGACAGGACATGGGTGTTTGACAGGACATGGGTCCGTGACAGGCCATGGGTGTGTGACAGGCCATGGGTGTGTGACTGGCGACGGGTGTGGGACAGGACTTGAAAAGTAGTCATGGAAAATGCGAGCAATGAAGGACGTGCATGCGTGCATGTATGCATGGGCGTGTGTGCATATGTGCACAGGGTTGTACGCAATTATGCAAGTATAGTTTCTAGTCTCGAGGCTGGTAAGCAAGACACGAAATTTGCAGAAGGACAACCTGATTTGATAGCAGACATGACCTAAGAAATCCTATATTCGATTACAGATCCTTCGTTGATCAAACCAATTCTGTTCAATGAATCGAGGCATATTGCAGCTGTGTCGCATGAACCTCGTTCTACCCATTACCGAGTTTCATGGGACAGCACGGGAGGTGCAGGCGCGGAATGTGAGGTTCAGAGAATGTTGTAAGCAAGTATATTTAGTGTACATAGCCAACGGCACTTTTGATAAAGGTACATTGATGGGCGAGTTGGGAGCGGTTGGCCAGGTGGGAAGGAAGCAAGTTGGGGCATGACACGTAAGTAAGCATGAGGAGCGGTTTGGGCAGTGGCTTGCGGCGAATGAGAGAGGTGAGTCGATGGCAGGAATCACAGGGCCATCATAGTAGGAGAAACTCCCAAAACGGCGCGCAGCGGAAGCAGCTGGGAGGGCAGGGTTTGGCTTCGGAGTGGGACTGCTAGGAGGAGGAGCACAAAAGTAGTAAGGAGGGGTAGTTGTTGCTACTCTGTTTGTTCTCTTGTTATCATGGGAAAGCCTGTATGCTCTCTTACTAGTGGATTTACTCTTGAGCAATGCTAGATCCATGTAGGGAGGTCGGACAGAGGTGCAGTTTAGAGGATCAGGATGCGAGATTGAGTCTTGGGCTTTTTCGTACAAACAGAGTTATGGTGGGCATGTCGCTGCGTAGCGGCATGCGCCTACCTGTGGGAGAGACTCCCCCGCTGGGGGAGGAGAACGTGTCACCAAACGAAGGAGGCGAAGAACAGCGACGGGAATCGTCCGAGGATAAGCGCGAATCTCCGCGCGAGAAGGCTGGCGAAGGAGCGCAAGAGTGGGACGAGGAGATTTGTGGCTCTAGCAGTTTCGCCATGCGAGCAGATCGCCATCCGGGAGAAGGAATCCCATCGGCGGGAAGAGGAGGAATCCCTTCGGGCATCGCGGAGCGCAGCAGAGGGGTCTCGGACTCGAGGGCAGCCGGATCCGCAGAGGTCGCCACATCTGCGCGCTTAAGCGAGATGGGTGGCGGAGGTGCCATCGGGGGGAGAGGCGCGTCCGTGGGAGGGCCGTCAAGGTGGTCCTTGTGGGAGGAGGGGACGAGATATTGCTACACCAGCCTTCCGAAAGTGGAGGTTCCAGCTCGCTTTACGGCGACCAGGAGATTGGGACGCGGCTTAAGGCGTATGTGATGCACATCCACTGCGAGAAGTTCTGCTGGGAGCAAAATGGATTGGACTTAAGGCACTTCTTTCGCTCTCTGGGGAACACGCTTGCCGGAGACGTGGAGGCGTTCTTACTGGAAGTGCGCGATCTACTGCTGCAGGAAGAGGAGCGGGATGCTTTGGGCCGGGTTTGCCGCGATGAGGAGGGACGGATCTTGACGCTAAGAGATCCAACGGAGAGGTTCCTCGTCGAGCTGCAGGTCCATTTCCCCACGCAGACGCGGCGCGGCTAAGAGAGTTTGAGCAGCTGCGGAGGGCCTCAAGAGAGTCACTGCTGGCGTATTACCGTCGGGTGGATCAGCTGGCTGACGTCATCAGCTGCAACGAGCCACGGATAGTGGTGGCGAAGTTCCTAGATGGGCTGTCGGGAGATCTGGTGGGGACGGTGCGAGACCACACGTACAACCTACGGCCGAACGCCACGCTTCGTCAGGCGTATGCGATAGCATGGCGGAATGAGCAGTCTCTGAGCATGTATGACCTGGGGAAGAGGGCAGAACGGACCATGCCCCACGAGCGTGATCGCAGGGGAGTAAGCTGGGGTGGAGCCATGATGGCAGACAACGAAGGAGATGAGGAAGGAGGGCTGGAAGGCAGGAATCAGAGGGGACGGGCGAGGAGGGCAAAAAGTGCGACTCCGCCCCCGGGTGAAGAGCCTGTGCGCTATAAGTGCAGGGAGCCCGGGCACTTCAAACGAGACTGCCCCAAGTTGCAATCCTGTACATATTGCCAGCGAAAGGGGCATGCGGCCGACGACTGCTACACGAAGCAGAGTGAGGAACGGAGCTGTGGGGGCAGACGCAGTCGCATAGAAGCACTGGAAGAAGAGCTCAGGAAGCTCAAGGGGGAGGCGGAGGGCAGCGAGGAAGAGGAGGACTAGGGAGCACTAATGGCTTGAACAGACCAAGAGGATAAGGGGGAGCTGCCAGAGCCCTTCTTCATGGCCTCGGGGAGAGATCGAGACCGAGAAGACCTGGGGCTGCGCATCGGGGGCAGAGATGGACGCCGAGATATGCAACAGGGGCACAGAGGGCCGAGGATGGAGCCCTCCCCAGCGGTGCAGCGTGCAGCGGAAGCTGCAGCGGAGGCGGTGGTGCGTGTAGGGGGCAGCCATGGGCCACGCATGCATCCCTTTGAGCGTATGGTAGCACGGCCGTGCGTGGTGGAAGCAGTGGAAGGGTCTGTGGAGGTAGAAGGAAAGTACCCGGGTACGACGATCATTGACATGGGTGCCTCCCAGGTGCTGATCGGTAGGCGACTGGCCGAGCATTTGGGGCTCCACCAAGAGGAAAACGTGACACCTGAAGGGGTGAGGATACCGACAGCAGAAAGGGGGGGTAGGCAAATGCCTGCCAAGGACCTTGCGTTTGCAGGAGGTAGTGCTGGCTCCCGGGAAAGAGAACGAAGCGAGACTCAGGGTGCACTGCCTCATCTCGGATTCCGATGATTACAATCTATTGCTAGGTATGGAGCTGTTGTAAAAAATCGGGGCAGTTGTGGACACCTGGGCAGAGAAGGTCACGTACCAGCCATGATACTGGGATGCAAACTTACGGCAAGAAGAGAGTACAGCGGCTGTATTGCCCGCTCGGTTCCTGAGAGGGAGACCCGTGTACAGGGAGCCGTCCGCAGACCGGGTGCCTGAAAACCGATTCGAGGATGCTGGAGTGTACCTGGAGAAGAGCATTGAGAGGCGGAGATCGGAGGAAGCAGCCGGCCCGAGAGTGGAAGAGTACCGTGAAGCAAAGGGCTTGACAGAGCCCACGTACGATTTTGAGACGGACATCTTGGAACCAGGCAGGCGGGCTGCTCCGGTAACCATGCCCGACGCTCGAGTGTAGTACCCATGCAATGAAGTGCGGGCACCACGTCAGGCCTGGCCCACGCTGGTAGCGACCCCAGGCAGCTATGCCTTCCGGATACAGGATGGACAGCCAGGGCCGGGAATGGTGCAGGTCCTGTCCACTGGAGAATGGGAGGAACCCTTGGCAGTGGAGCGAGAGCGGGCACTAGGGTACTTGAGAAATGCAACCGCAGTAGAGGGAGTGACGGAAGCAGAGAGGTGGCGAGCTCTAGGGGGAGCGATAGATCAGCACACAATGGTATGGTTGATGTACCGGGCAGAGAAGCGATAGGAGGCAATGCGCAAGCAGCTGCTGATGCTTTGGAGGTGGAGGGATATAGAAGAAATGCTAGAGGCAGACCCAGTTCAAGCCATGGACATAGCGAAGGCATGGCAAAGCATGAAAGTGGAGGCAAGGGAGGAAGGTAGGCGGGATGAAGAGCGCTTGAATAGCAGAGGAATCAGCCTCTTGGCGAGAGCAACGCAGGAGGCTGAGGAGCGGCAAGATACGAACGAGGAGCTGGAGGCAGAGCCCCCCCCCTTAGGGACGCTCCCCCTGAGGAGAGTCAGTGGGACATAGGGGAGGGGCTGGAGGAGGGACAGAAGGAGGAACTAATGGGGGTACTCGAGAAGGCCAGAGGCGCCTTCGCATACTCACTGGCGGAACTGGGCAAGTGTAACCGGACAGAGATGGAGATTGATTTGCAGAGCTCTGAGCCTGTGTATCAAAGGAGACGGAGACTGAGTCCAGGGGATCGCGACATCGCTATAGCCAAATGCAAAGAGGTGCTAGCAACCAGCTTAATTCGAGAATCAACATCAGAGTATGCAGCGGCAACTGTGGTAGCGGCACGCAAGGACTTGACAGGAGAAATGCTAGCAAGACAGATGTGGGGGGATTATCGGGGCCTAAACCACATCACGAAGAGCGATAGGTGCCCCATGCCGATGGCGGAGGAGATTTTTGACAAGCTGGCGGAAGGGGGGATTTACTCAACTTTAGACCTCCGGCAGGATTCAATCAGATCCCGATCAAGGAAGAAGATTAGGCCAAGACCGCATTTTACGGTCGAGACCAGCTCTTCGAATAGAACTTCATGCCTTTTGGCTTGAAGAAAGCATCGGCAAAGTTTCAAAGAGTAATGGACCAAGTCCTCCAGGAGGTGCTGCGGGCACTGTGCTACATTGACGATGCCATCATCTACAGCCAGATGGGAGAGCAACACGTAGCTGACGTGGCGGCGACCTTAGCGACTATCCAGAGAAATGCCACTTCGGGGTTACGACAGTAGCTTACCTGGGGTTTCAGGTGGGAGAAGGCGGGCTCTCGGTGCAGCAGGCGAAGGTGGGGGTGGTTGACAGGCTGAAGGCGCCCACGGATTGTAGCATGCTAAGAGCGCAGCTGGGATTCCTGAGTTACTACTGCAGGTTCATCCCGAACTTCAGCAAGACAGCCAAGCCACTAAATCAGTTGTTGAGAAAGGATGAAGGATGGAAGTGGTGGAAAGAGCAAGAGAGAGCATGGACCACCCTCAAGGAGGCCGTGAAGACGGCGCTGCTGCTGAAGCTGCCTAACCCAGACGAGCCTTTCCTGCTGTACACAGACTGGAGCAGCAGTGGGATGTGCACCGTGCTCTGTCAGGAGGAAAAAGGAACGGAGAGGGTGGTGGCGTACGTCAGCAGGTCATGTAGCCCGGCGGAGAGCAATTATAGCTCGTACGAGGGAGAGGGGTTGGCGGCAGTGTGGGCGGTAGAGCTGTTCCGGCCCTACTTGCAGGGGAGGAAGTTCACGCTGGTGACGGATCACCAACCACTGCTCTGGCTGATGACGAACCAAACCCTGAAGGACCGGAACGCTCGATGGGCTATGCGTCTACAGGAGTTCGAGTTCGACGTGAAGCATCGACCAGGGAAAGACTTTGCAGCATGTGGATGGCCTAACTCGCCAGAGGCAAGAGGGAGACGAGAGGAGAGAGGTGCGGGCAGAGGCCGCACTTACTTGTATGGTGGTGGCCCTGGAGAAGGAGGGATGGAACCGGAAGACAGAGACAGTAAAGGGCAGTTGGGAGATTTGGGAAGACCAGCCAGTGCTCGCCTGGGTTCAGGGCAGGGGACCGGAAGGGGAAGAGGTTCCTGAGAGGGTGCGAGTGCGGGGGGGTGCATTACCGATGGCAGACGGATCAGCAGCAGCTGGTGACAGAAGATGGGTGGTGGATAGTGCCACGGCCAGAGGAAAGGGAGGCCCTGATCGTGAAAGTACACACACAGTTGGGGCACTATGCCGTGGAACGGACCGTACAGATGCTGCAGACCATGTACTGGTGGGCGGGCCTGAGAAGAGAAGTGAAGGAAGTGCTGGCCAGATGTGAGCCGGAGCAAGGCAAAGGTGGAGCGAACCAAGGCAGAGCTGCAGTCTCTACCCATCGGTTCAATCGGGTATCGCTGGTCCTTCGACATGGCGGGGGAAATGCCGCTATCTTGGCGAGGCAAGAAATACATTCCGTGATGATCGAGCTCACGAGCAAGTGGATAGAGGTGGCAGCGCTGGCATGGAAGACAGCAGCAGCAGTGGCAAAGGCTTTCACCCAGCAAGTCCTAACCAGGTTCAGCGCATGTGGGGAAGTTCTGACGGACCAGGGTGGAGAATTTGCGGGAGAATTCCACGGCCTGCTGCAAGAGGTGGGCATCACCCACCGGCGGACTTCACGGTACCATCCTCGGGCTGATGGCCTGACAGAGTGAATGGTCCAGACTCTGAAGATGGGCCTGAGGAAGTACTGCAAGGAGGAAGAGCGAAGGGAGTGGGACCAACATCTGCCGTGGGTGGCGGCGGGGTATCGCTTCAGCAAACAGCAGGCTCTGAAGGATTATTCCCCGTACTATCTGCTTTTGGGGAAGGAGCCAGTGCTGCCGGTGGATGCTCCACTGATAATGGTGCAGTCGGTGTCCACTGATGACCCACGCACCTAGGCGACGGTGGCAGCCAGACGCGCTAGCTACCTCCGCAGCGTGCTGCTAGCAGCCTTGGAAAATCTGGAGGTGGCGCAGCTCCGTGATGCTCGATGCTACCGACAGCGGAAGGAAGGAGTAGGTGGAGGACCTAGGCATGGGACTGAGCTGCAAATTGGGGATGAGGTGTACCTGAAGGAGCCACGGCATAATACGCTGGAGTGTGGCCCGAGTAAGCAGAGGTGGGTCGTGCGCGGGAAGAAGGAGTCGGGGGTCCTGACACTACAGAATGCGCCAGGGAGGTCGGTTCAGGATCATGTGACGAATGTCGCCCGAGCATCCGGTTCGCGACCAAGCAGCGGGGGCGCAGGGCAGACCGCGAGGGGGCATGAGTCAGGGGAGTCGAAACTCATCACATACAAGCGTAGGGAAGGCAAAGAATCTTAGGAACCAGGTTAGGCATTGCAGATGAGAGCTGCGGGGAGGGGAGGAGGCTATGCGACAGCTGTCGCATGAACCTCGTTGTACCCGTTACCGAGTTTTATGGGACAGCGCGGGAGGTGCAGGTGCGGAATTAGAGGTTCGGAAAATGTTGTAAGCAAGTGTATATAGTGTACATAGCCGACGACTCTTTCGATAAAGGTACAGTGATGGGCGAGTTAGGAGCGGTTGGCCAGCTGGGAAGGAAGCATGTTGGGGCATGACACGTAAGTAAGCATGAGGAGCGGTTTGGGCAGTAAAATCAACGAATGGGAGAGGTGAGTCGATGGCAGGAATCAGGGTGAATGAGGCATGAGAGTGCAAAAGCATCAAAAGCTGTTACCTTGATATGCAATAAGAATCTGGTGACAGGTTTTGACAAAGGAACCTGACTAAGGGTGAATCTGACAATGGGGATTCGACTGTGAATTCCAGAGATGGGAATCTGACAATGAGGTCAGTCATGGAACGTCGGCACTGGGAATTGTAGACGGGAATCTAAAATTACAATTCTGACAATAGAGAACTGACTACGGGGGATTGGGGAATACGAACCTGACATGGAAAAATGAAGCGGGAACATGACATGAGTATATGCCATGGCTATCTAACAACGGAAATCTGACAATGGGAATCATTTGGCTCAGAAATCTGACATAGAATTCTGACAGTCAGCATCTGACAGTAATAATTGAACAACGGGGAATATATAGGATTCGAGCAGCTGGAACGTAGTCAGCTGGAATCTGGGGGAAAAAAAAGAAAAAAAAGTGAGAATCTGACCACGGGAATTGGAAAATGGAATGTGGCTGTGGGTGAATGTGACAATGAGATTCTGACAAATGAATCTGATATGGAAATCTGACAACGGAAGTCTGACATGGAAACTTGGCACTAAGAATTGGAAATGGGAATCTGAAAGTGGGAATCTGAGATTGGAAATGACAATGGGAAATAGATTATACGTACCTGACACGCAAAAATAATATAACATGGGTATACGAGAGCATACGTGACAACGGGAATCAGACCTGGGGCTTGGGAATCTGACTTGAGGATCTGACCTGGGAATCTCACCTAAAAAATCTGACCTGGGAATCTGACCTGGCAAAATGACGTGGGAATCTGGCTCGGGAATCTGACTTGGATAGCTGACTTGGGATTCTGACTAGGAAATCGAACTTGGGAATCTCACCTGGAAATGTCTTGCCGAATCTGACTTGGGAATCTGACTGATTTCGGAAACTGACAGACGTTGGAATCTGACTTGGGGATCTAACCTAGGAATCTGATCCAGGAATCTGACCTGGGATTGTGACCTGGGAATGTGACCTGGGAATCTGATTTGGGAATGCGACTTGGTAATCAAACTTGGGATTCTGACTCGGAAATCTGACTTGAAAATCTCACCTGGGAATTTGACAGGATGTTTATGGGATCCTGATAACGGGAAAGAAATTTTGGAGTGAGATTACTATGCTCATGGCAATAATTGGGAATCTGACCTGGAAATCTGGCTCAAGAATCAGACTTGGGATTCTGACTTGCGAATCAGACTAGGGAAGCTGACTTGGGAATCTCACCTGGGAAGCTGACCTGGAAATCTGACCTGGGAGTCTAACCTGGGAATCTGACTTGGGAAGCTTACTTGGGCATCTGACTCTGGAATATCACCTGGGAATTTCACCTGGGAATCTGACTCGGGAATCTGACTTGGAAATCTGACTCGGGAATCTGACTCAGGAATCTCTCCTGGGAATCTAACCTGGGAATTTGACTTGGGAATCTGACTTGGGAATTTCAATTAGGAATCTGACTTGGGGGAATCTGATTCGGGAACATCACCTGCGAACCTCACGTGGGAATCTGACCTGGGAATGTGACCTTGGGAATCTGACCTGGGCATCTGACCAGGGAATCAGACCTGGCAATGTGACCTGGGAATCTGACTTGGGAATCGGACTCAGGAATCTCACCTGGGAATCTGACCTGGAAATCTGACCAGGAAATCCGACCTGGGAATCTGACTTGGGGGAATCTGATACGGGAACGTCAACTGCGAATCTCACATGGGAATGTGACCTGGGAATCTGACCTGGGAATGTGACCTTGGGAATCTGACCTGGGCAGCTGACCTGGGAATACGACCTGGGAATGTGACCTGGGAAACTGACTGACTTGGGAATGTGACCTGGGAATCTGACCTGGGAATATTATTTTTAGAATCTGACTTGAGAATCTGACTCAGGAATCTCATCAGGGAATCTCACCTGGGAATATCACCTAGGATTCTCACCTGGGAATCTCACCTAGGATTCTCACCTGGAAATCTGACCTGGAAATCTGACCTGGGAATCTGACCTGGAAATCTGACCTGGGAATCTGACCTGGGAATCTGTCTTGGGAATCGTACTTTGGAATCCGACTAGGGAATCTGACTCAGGAATCTCACGTGGGAATCCGACCTGGGAATCCGACTTGGGAATCCGACAGACCTGGGAAACTGACTGACTTGGGAATGTGACCTGGGAATCTGACCTGGGAATATGATTTTTAGAATATGACTTGAGAATCTGACTCAGGAATCTCACCAGGGAATCTCACCTGGTAATCTCACCTAGGAATCTCACCTAGGATTCTCACCTGGAAATCTGACCTGGAAATCTGACCTGGGAATCTGACCTGGAAATCTGACCTGGGAATCTGACCTGGGAATCTGAGTTGGGAATCTGACCTGGGAATCTTACTTGGGAATCCGACTAGGGAATCTGACTCAGGAATCTCGCCTGGGAATCCGACCTCGGAATCTGACTTGGGAATCTGACTTGGGAATTTCACATAGGAATCTGACTTGGGGGAATCTGACTCGGGAACATCACTGCGAATCTAACATGGGAATGTGACCTGGGAATATGACCTGGGAATGTGACCTTGGGACTCTGACCTGGTCAGCTGACCTAGGAATATGACCTGGGAATGTGACCTGGGAATCTGACTCGGGAATCTGACTTGGGAATCCGACTAGGGAATATGACTGAGGAATCTGACCTGGGAATCTGACCTGGGAATATGACCTGGGAATCTGACTTGGGAATTTCACGTTGCAATCTGACTTGGGGGAATCTGACTCGGGAACATCACCTGCAAATCTCACGTGGGAATGTAACCTGTGAAACTGACCTGGGAATCTGACCGGGGAATGTGATCATGGTAATCTGACCTGGGAATGTGATGTGGGAATCTGACTTGGGAGTCTGACCTGGGAATGTGACCTGGAAATCCGACCTGGGAATCTGACTTGGGAATTTCACATAGGAATCTGACTTGGGGGAATCGGATTCGGGTACATCACCTGCGAATCTCATGTGGGAATGCGACCTGGGAATCTGACTTGGGAATTTGACCTGGGAATGTGACCTTGGGAATCTGACCTGGGCAGCTGACCTGGGAATATGACCTGGGAATGTGACCTGGGAATCTGACTCCGACTGACCTGGGAAACTGACCAACTTAGGAATGTGACCTGGGAATCTGACCTGGGAATATG